CTAAACTAGGCAGTCTAGAAATGGTATTTCACCGACGTCTGATTCTGCTTCCAAAGTTAACCGGATTCTGGGAGATAAACAGTTTATTTTCTCCAGGAATGAACTGTATAGATCTCGTTTTAGCACTACAAAAGTATCATCTACATATCTTAACCATATTTTAGGAGTGAGTATGCTTGAAAAGGTGTTATTTTCGAATCTATTCTTGAAAACGTCAACGACCTTTGGGGAGACTGGTGAACCCATAGCAACACCATTTGTCTGTCTATATAAACTGCCTTTAAATGTAGAAGAATTACTTTCTCTAGACAGGATTTCAAGCTCTTAATTGTTTCACTGGTGTCCAGTGGACATCTTTGTCATAGCGTTGTATCTGATTCTAGAAGACTGGAAATGATATCAAGACTTTCAGTAGTAGGGATACTAGTAAATAATGAGTTAATATCATAGCTTAACATAATGTCTTCTTCATCAATTTCTGGGTGTTCTATTTCGGATTTGAAATAATATGAATTTCTTACAATATTTTGAGTGTTCTTTTGTAGTGGTTGTAGTACCGAGAGTAAGTATTTAGAGAGGACTAAAACTAGCAGCGGTGTTCCGTCACTCTAATGAGCATTAGTGGAGAAGCGGCTGAGTCAGACGAGGGAAAGGCTGAAAACCTCTCTGAATACTTCTGTGACGTCTTCTCGTACCACCCAGGGATATGGCGAGGTCACCGCCATTGCCACTCAGATGCCCTCAATTGTGGTAGAGCACACAAAGGTCCTCAAACTACTGTCTAAACTGAAGCCAGGTAAATCACCTGGATCCGATGGACTTCACCCTAAACTGTTAATTTCCCTGGCGGATATAATATATATACCACTTACGGAGATTTTCCAAATGTCTCTGACCCAGGCTAAGCTACCCAGGGACTGGAAGGATGCCATTATAAGCCCTATCTTCAAAGAGAGGAACAGACAATTGGTGTCTAACTACCGGCCGGTAAGTCTAACATGCATTACAGCAAAGGTGTTGGAAACTATTATAAGCGATCAGCTATCAGCTCATGTTGAAAAACATGGCTTGCTGGCGGTGGAACAGCATGGATTCTGACCAGGACGATCCTACTTGACAAACCTACTACTGGCTAAGGAAGACTGGGTTGAGGCCAGAGATAAAAACCTTCTGTTGGACGTAGCTTTTATCGATCTTAGTAAGGCATTCGACAAAGTATCCCGCTTAGGTCTGCTTAGTAAATTTAGAGGTTTCGGACTAGACCAATGCCTATGTGAGTGGTTTAGGGATTACCTAATGGATAGAAGGCAGGAGGTTAGAATTAACGGTGTACTATCAGGGTGGAAAGCAGTATCCAGTGGAGTGCCTCAGGCAACTGTATTAGGCCCTTTGCTATTCCTATTATACGTTAGTGAACTACCGGCGATTCTTACATCATCTTCATTATTATTTGCGGACGACATTAAGATCTGGAAAACTGTAAATAATAGCGAGGATAGGTTGGCCCTACAAACTGATCTAGATAAATTAGCTGAGTGATCGAACCTGGTTCGAACATCATCATCCGAGAGGCTTACGTGTAGTTGAAATAATGCTACTCCTAGCCAGAAAAAGTGAAAGAGACGTCTTCCTAATAACTTCTCTCAATTACGGTGGTTGGGGTTCATCGTTATTGGTCGAAGTTTATTATCACCTCTGTTGTCTTCATATTCACCTGAAGTCATATATTTGCTGCCTTTATTGCCAATTCAGGTAGCATAACCTGCTAACCAGCGGATTATTTAGAACTCTAAGTAAGCACGACAGAGCTGCAAGTTTTCTCCAATCTCTCCCCCCCTCTCCGTAAATAACTGCACTAAAAATATGTCCAGGTGGCAGGCGAGTGGTGATATAGTTGGAGGGACAAAATGACGCAAACTGGTGAAAGCATTCAGGAAGCCAGTCAGCCCAAGTGTCTTCTTTCGATGAAAGCAAGGTGAAGCATTGGGACGTGCAATGTTCGTACAATGTATGAAAGTGGCAAGTCTGCCCAGGATTCCAAAGAAATGAAAAGATCTAGCATAGAAAAACTAGAAATCTGAAAGAGCAGGTGGAATGGATGTAGACTCAAAAGGAAGGTAAGTTACAACCACTCAATGTTATGCGCCTACAAACAACTCAGAACAATAAGACAAGGAAGTGTTCTATAGACAACTACAAACAGTACTCGACAACATGCCAAATGTCGACATGAATGTTAAAATGAGAGTAGACAATATAGAAAACAATTCAAATGAGTCGTGAGGCGAAAGGAATGATAATGGAGATCTCTTCACAGGCTTTCGCGCATTAAGTGACTGGATGTAGCATGTACAAACATAAGAATATCTACAAGGCGACATGAATTTTACCTGACGGACACAACAAACGCCAGGCAGACTTCATCGCTAACTGACTGGCTTCAACTTAGAACTTTGCACAGATGTGCAGCGGTTCGAGTCGCCACACTCCATATCCTAACCACTTTACCACCGAGCCATATCACCAATTGCCTCCAACCATTGGTGTTTACCGTCCCGAGGAACCCAACCAGCAAGTCTACAACTTCCTATGTGACTTAAACTCACTGTTGTGGATTTCACTGACTGATGAGGTCAGCTCTCTCTTCCAACCTGATCCTATGTCAGCTAGCTATCATTGCCCACTGTCGAGGAAGGCGATAGATGATGGCTAGGTATGTGTAACACATGTCCTAACCATCTCAGTCGGTGTAACTTCACAACCCTCGTCCATTGATTTCCCCTCCTTACCTAACACTCCACCGAAGCCTAACTTCAAAATTGCTGACCCTATTATGCCACTTAACACAGGAGATAGAACGCAGATACAAATGATCAAAGACAGTTAGTCAGCCTCTTCCTGTCTTCCACTCTCAATGGCCATGTCTCGCTCACAGCCATAAAGGAGGACAGAGTGACCTGTAGGAGTTCATCGCAGTCTCACGAAGGTGAAGATGCAATCTGCTAGATACAGAAACCGAAAGCGGAGCAATTGTGGGTTCGGTCCATTAACTAGTGCATGGAAACTTCTACGTCAAGCTGAAGGCCTTCGAAGCACCAGGAAACAAATCCCAATTCATATTCAACAGTCAGAAACTGAAGGACAAAACTAAAAAGAATACCTTCCTTGCATGTATCGTAGCGAAGTCCGAGACATTACTTTGCATCATTGAAGAAACCTACATGGAAGAACAATGAAACTCTCTGGAAGTGATGTCTATCAAGCAACCAGGTCCCTACCCGGGAAGAGTTCAACACAGATGGAACCAATAAACTACCGTCAAGGGAACCTAATTACCAAAGAAGACAGACTAAAGAAACAATGGGCTGATCACTTCAAAGGATTCTTGAATCGACTATCAACTTCCACCCATCCAGAAATACATCACAACAGCACGCACAGAACTACCAGTGGACACCAATCCTGCAAAAAAGTAGAAGTCCTGGAAGTTATCAGGCTACTGAAGGCCAAGAAGACAGCAGGACTGGACGGAATTCCATCAGAAGCCCAGAAAACGGATCGAGAAGAGCAGCGGATGTGTAGACAAGACTACTGCAAAAGTTCAAATGGAACGAAATGCAATTGAGGATGGGAAGAAGGGCTACGCTGTCAAACTATCAAAGAAGAAAGACTTTAGTCTCTGCAAGAACTGACCAGGAGTCAAACTCTTGTCTACACCAAATAAGATACCAAGTAGCATCATTCTATCGAGAAATATATACGCTGGGGATGCAGAACTCCAACCCGAACAACCTGGATTCATGGAAAACAAATCATGTGCTGATCAAATTGCAACTCTACGCGCCATCACCATAATCAGAAAAAGCATAGAACGACAGTCGATACTCTACTTCAACTTCATCCACTCTGAAACGACCTTCGACAGCGTTGACCACGAAGTAATTTGGAAACTGCTCCAGCACTAAGAAGTGCCTCAAGACTTTATCAAGCTCATTCAACAGAAATATAACAATGTTAAAGGCCAAGTTATCCACAAGGGAAAACTCGGCGGAGCCTTTGAAGTGAAGACAGTAGTAAGACAAGGTTGCCCACTATCGCCCATGATACTCCTGTCTGTGGTGGACTGGATCATACAACAGACTATGGGGAGTGAGAAGTCAGCAATGCGTTGGGCCGATAAGAAGACTCTAGGAGATTTGGAATTCGTGGATGATTTACGTCTGGTGTCACACAAACTCGAAGATCTACAGGCGAAAACCAACAAGTTGGCAGAAGAAGCAGCAAGTATAGCACTTCAAGTAAACGTAAAGGAGACGGAGGTGATGAAGATAACCAAGCAACAACAACGACGGACACCAATCACTGTTGACAGAATAAATCTGAACGAGGTCACTTCCTTCACTTACCCGGGCATCACGGATGAAGATGTTTATACGAGATAGTAAAGGTACACCTTCATCACTCTGAAATCAATCTGCACGAAGCAAAACGAACCAGATTCGGATTTCCGACACCAATACCGAGTCAGTTTCTCTATGTGGTTCAGAAACTCCAAGCGTTTGGAAAACCAATTCGAACAGGCTGCAGGCTGTTATCAATAGCTGTCTTTGCTGACTTGATGCTGGCCAGTCGGAAAGGACTAGCAACAAGGAACCAATAAAGAACCTGTCACTCAAGCAAAATTCCGAAGGAAATAGAGACGGATCGGATACACATTGAGGATACCACAGTGACATCGGGTGTAAGGGCTTGGAGTGGAGCCCCAATACAACACGACCACTCGGGCTTCCGAGGGTGACATGGAAGATATCACGCGAGGATAAGATGAGAGAATATGGGCGATCGCGGGGCTAGCCAAAGAGCACCGTTGAGAGGAGGACAAAGTGGAAATGTGCTGTTGAAGCCCTACGTATCACTTTCAGACCAAAGGAATAATAATTATTACTATTCTTATAATTAGCCACTTCTTGGTCTTAAAGTGCACTCACAAAATCGAAAAATATTCTTTGTAAAATATAATTAATAATTTCAAATCGTTATAATTCAGTGAGACTGACGGAAACTCTTAAAGCTAATAAAATAACAAATACAAATAGAATGAATTCCGGGCATCTGATGAAAATATATGTGAAAAAGGTACAATTTAAATTCTGTCGTCTTCGAAGATGGCATCTGATAGCTTAACTAACCAACACTTTGATGCAGGGTCGTCCTTTTCATCTTCGCATTTCGGCCACCAGGTATTGCACTTAGAGCGAACTTCTAGAGTGAAAAACAAGACAACAGAGCAATGTCACTAAGCGTACCTTTGTAGAATGAATTTGAAAAAGTCGAACAATCACTTCATATTTCAACAGGTAAACAATTTTAAAATATCTGCTTACCTTTGGAGCATAAAAACGCAATAGCATCGTTAGTTGATCGAAGCTTTCCCAACTCGCCACTAGGAAACAGTTCAGCTAACCCTGTCGAAGAAGGATTGTCCTCATTTTCCAATTCAGAAACATCCTGACTGCTTGTTAGTCTCACTGATGATCTCGAACCTTTCATCACAAAATTATGAGAAAACAAAATATTGTGATATGGATAATCAGAAATAGGCACGACAGAAATGAGGCTATAAACTGAACGGAATGGTTTTGTAAGATATAATGCGCAAATAGAGAAAATTTCACACAGAACTTAGTATAAACCCACATAGTTCGTAGTCGCCGCACCCAAAGTGAAATTAATATGAGGGAGATACGTAAAACGAGTGGGTGTAGGAAAATGCAAAACAACATAATAAAGGCAACAGAACCACAGCACGAGAATTAAATACCATGTAAACGACCCATTCTGTGTTGCATTACTAAACATTTCCGACTGTATCGTCGTTTGCAACTGACAAGACCACATCTCTCTCACATAGATCACATCAATGCAAGACTTCTACCAAGTATCGGTTTGATAATAGTTAACATCACTTAGCTAATGCAGAAAGTCACAATAGACAGTAGTTAAGTTATTCCTAGTGACCAGTTAGAGAATTCCTGACTTCAGCTCTACTTTGCCAATTTCTCAAATAAGTACATTATATGTGAACGAAATGTGTGGACTTCAGAAATGTTCCGTCTGTGAGAGTTACCTCATAAAGATGGATACAGGAAGGCGAGGCCGATGCTGTTCATCACAAATATTCAGATACTCTATCATCACCATAATTAATGTTCGTTGAATAAAAGCCATCCATCTTTTCATGTAAGCAGTGAGTCATACAAAAATTCGAAAAAAGCATTGTTAACAAAGTAGTACAACTTGGAATTACACCCAAAATAGAAGGAGGGGATGGAAAAGTTTTCTCTGTGTACATAAGTCAAGGTTTTCTATTCGGATCGCTAAGGTCTAGGCAACGGAAAATATACGCAAGTTTGCTGTCTTCGGGAGGCTTTCTTTGACCTTGTAGATAACTTTGAATGAATTCTGCTTACATACTGAGTGACCAGTATTGAATATATGTTGAATTATAGCACTCCTTATTGATCCACTGTTACCTTTTCGCAGCCGAGCGGGATAATGTTGTTTGACTTTTTTAGACAAAACACGCATCGAACTACCTATATATCTCGCTCCACATGAGCAAGTAAATTGGTAGATACACATAGAAGTGGTCAGATGCGATAGTTTATCTTTGGAGTTGTTGAAGAACAACAGGCAGCATGGAATACCGATCAGAATGCAGAAGCAGAGAATGTTCTTTTCAGGGAGTTGGATATTCTTTTCTTTAGGATATTGGCTGAAATGTCACCACATTCACCTATGGCATCTTCTTCAGAATAGACATGGGGTGTTCTCCATTGGTTTTTGGGTCTTATCTGTTTATCTTTGAAGGGATAACCAATGTTTATTTTTACAGGATGCGGTTGCTAGCCTCATGCCCAACCTTTCCTCCTTACCAGCTTTTATTTCTGGCTTAGTGAGGTAAAGGAGTGCGTCGGCGGGGGATCGAACCCCAGACCATGTGCATGGTCGGCGAGCATCCTAACCGCTAAGCCATCAACGCACGTCGGTGACATTAAAATACCAATGAGAAACATGAACGCCAAACTGGATCCAGACAACACAGGAAGGGAACTCATCATGGGTTAAGAAGCTCTCAGAGAAATGAATGAAAATGGAGAACTCTTCACCGACTTCTGCGCCTTCAATGAGCTAGTGATTGGTGGCAGCGTATACAAACACAAGGATATCCACAGAGCTACATGGGTGTCACCAGATGGGCGAACCAAAAACTAAATTGACTTCATCACAATCTCGAGGAAGTGGCGGCGCAGCCTACTGGACACAAAAGCAAGAAGAGGAGCAGACGTTGGCTCAGACCACTACCTCGTACAAGGAACAATCCAACTCAAATTGAAAGCTTTCAGAGAATCAGGAGCTGCAGATAGACCACAAGCCAAGTTCAACACTCAAAAACTAAAGGACCAGGACACAAAGGACATCTTCACTGCAAGCATAAAAGACAAAGCTGAGACACAAATCAACATTAGCGAAGAGGTCAGCGTCGGAAAACACTGGGACAACCTGAAAGCGGTGTGGAGCGAAACCTGCATGGAAGTTCTGGGCAGAGACAGGACAAACAGTGGCTCACTACGGACACTTGGAGACTAATAGAAGAGAGAGGGATGGTGAAACAAAAGATTATCCAGTGCACCGACGAGCAACAAAAACAGGATTTGAATGCAAACTACAAGACACTGAACAAAAGAGTAAAGAAGAGTGCCAGAGAAGACAAAAGAAAGTATTATGAAACCATGGCAAGGGAAGCAGAACAAGCTGCAGGCAAAGGAGACGTCGCAACACTCTACCAAACAACTGGGTACCTATCGGGCAAAAGTTTGACACAAATTAAGCCAGTGAAGGATGACAACGGAAAGTCACTCACCAAAGAAGTAGAGCAAAGGAAACACTGGGCTGAACACTTCAAAAGACTCCTAAATCGACCACCACCGACAACCCAACCAACAATACCCACAACGGAGATAGAAAGCTACTAGTGAACACCAACCCCCCGACGGAATCAGGAGTCCTGAAGGCAATCAAGATGCTAAAAGCAGGAAAAGCAGCAGGACCAGATGGAATCCCAGCAGAAGCATTGAAAATGGACCCAGAGACAACAGCGGACTCGATGACGTCACTACTGGAGAAGGTGTGGAAAGAAAGCAATGTACCCGAGGATTGGAAGAAAGGATACTTATTCAAACTACCAAAGAAAGGAGACTTAAGTCAATGCAAGAACTGGCGCGGAATTATGCCCCTGTCCATCCCAAGCAAAATACTAAGCCGCATCATCCTGGAGAGAATCAAACAAGCCCTGGATGAAACATTTTGAACGGAACAAGCTGGATTCAGGAGAAACAAGTCATGTGCTGATCAAATCGCTACACTACGGATCATCATTGAAAAAAGTTTGGAATGGCAGTCACCTCTCTATCTCAACTTCATCGACTTTGAAAAGGCCTTCGACAGCATCGATCGAGAGGTGATTTGGAAACTACTTCGCTACTACGGGGTGCCGCCGACAATTATACATCTCATCCAACAGTTGTATGACAACGCTGCATGCCAAGTAATCCACAACGGGAAGCTCACGGAATCCTTCGAAGTGAAGACAGGAGTAAGACAGGGTTGCCTACAATCGCCAATGGTTTTCCTGATTGCAGTAGATTGGATAATGCGACAGACAGCGGGCGATGAGGAAACAGGCATGAAATGGACTCACACAAAGAACTTGGAGGATCTGGACTTCGCCGATGATATATGTCTGATTTCCCACAAACTGGAAGATATCCAAGTGAAAAGCAACAAGTTGGCAGAAGAAGCATCAAAGATAGGACTCCAGGTGAACATAGAGAAAACAGAAGTGATGAAGATTCCTGGCCAGTACCAACAGTAGCAACAACAACAGACAACAATCAGCATAAATGGGAGGAACCTGAAAGAAACAACCTCTTTTACCTACCTGGGAAGCATCGTTTCAACTACAGGCGGAACTGACGAGGATATCAAAGCAAGGATCGGGAATGCAAGCCAAGCTTTCATTACTCTCAAGTCTGTGTGGAGGTCAACAACACTCAGCATCAAAAATAAGGTCCGGATTTTCAACTCCAATGTGAAGTCAGTGCTACTATACGGATCAGAGACTTGGCACGTCATAAACAGCATCTCAAACAAGCTACAGACCTTCATTAACAGTTGCCTATACTCAAGATCAGATGGCCAGAAAAGATCAGCAACAGGGATCTCTGGGAGCGAACCAAACAGGAACCGATTGTGAAACAAATATGCAGAAGGAAATGGAGATGGATTGGTCATACTTTGAGGAAACCATCAAGTGACATCACTAGACAAGCCCTCGAATGGAACCCGAAAGGGAAGCGGCGAGTTGGTCGTCCAAGGGTGACTTGGAGGAGGTCATGTGAAGAGGAGATAAAAGCATGTGAGAAAACTTGGAGCCATGTGAAAACTCTAGCAGAGAACCGAAAGCAATGGAGACGCGCGACTGAAGCCCTATGTTTCTCTAAGAACTAAAGGAAATAATAATAAAATAAGATGGAAACATAGCGGTCTCAACATCCAGCATAATAGAGTGGAGGCTAATATTGATAACTGAAGATTTATGTATCGAATCCACTGAAAGTACACACAAAAGAAATGACTCAACACCTGTCCCGGATATCTGGAAAATTCTTCTGCCTCTACGACAAATATGAAGGAAGGAAGAGAAATATGAGAATCAATTTTCGAGGTCGTGTATTCACAGCTGATATGATTGTGAACGATAAATTATCGCTTGGACATCACTCCGACAATAATAACATTTCACCATGTGATACATTCAATAAATATATTAATACAGAATTCCTCATCCAATCCTTGTTGGCTTCGACATTGTCGTCCGTGAGGCTTATGTGTAGTTGAAACGATGCTACCTAGCCAGAAAAAGTGAAAGAGACGATCCCCAACAAATTTCTCCCAAAGATGACGGTTAGTGTTTGTTGTTATTGGTCGGATATCTCTATCACCTCTATCTTCTTCACAAGCACCTGAGGTCGCACCTTCGTGTAGCTTGCGAAATTTCCGCTTTAAGAAACATGAGGCATCATTTGTCTGTGAAATCCAGATCTCCTATGGTTAATCGCTCTGTCCAACGTGTGCACTTCCTCTCACTGCTTGAGGTTTTTCGGATGGTCCGATCCCCCACAATCGTTAAGACAATCGGTGATAGTAGACAGCCTTATTTCTTACTCCTGTTTTCATTTCAAAGACTTCGGTGACCTTTCCCTTGTGAATTACTTGGCACGCAGCATTACCATAAAGCTGCTGAAGTAATACCCTCAGAATAGAAAAGCATGAAGGCAAGCCTACTGGAAATCTGAAAGTCATGTGAGTACTTTGATGTGATTGTTAGCAATGAGTTGTAACTTAATCATAAAACAGTTAATAAAATGGAGTTGTCTGTCACATTCCCAATGCACTATTTCATCCAATTTTCATTATCATAGAACAATCATGACAACTGAAACGATTACAGTAATTAGTTTTGTAAAATACAGGTTTCTTAGTAGAAGAAATCATACGGGGATTATTGCAATCGGGGCGTTTACGTAAGACACTGCGGTTATTAACTTTATAAGTTACTAGCTAACAAGGGGAACGTTTTAACACCAAACAGTAAATGGTATGCGTTCAGTCGTACATTCGATGCTATTATGATCACCTAATAATAGTTAGTTAGAACTTAGTTGACCAGAGCAGAATTTCAATGTAGTAAGGCTGGAAGACAAAATTGTGAGAACTGCTGATTTGGACTGTCAATCAGTTTGTCGCATCTTTCTTTATGGCTGTGTAACATGGCCAGCGAAGGTTCCAGTCTTCAGTCTCTAGTCTTAGGTGGTAAAGTATACTCAGTAATAATGGGGTTAAGTGTAACGTTAGGCAAGCCATGGAAGTCAAGCGATGAGCTTGGTAGCTGCATCGATCGGGATACCTAAGACACGTGTTACGCATGTCAAGCTATCACCTTCCCCATAGAGCCATGTAAGGCGATATAGTATTGGGTTTGAAAACGGTTAGGGGATGAGGTATTGACTTGCACTTGAATATAGTGATTACAATTTCACTAGTTCGCAAACTCCTAAACCAACTTGAAATAAGTGAGAAAAAAACAACTAATCCACTGCTGTATACCATTATGGACTCATAAGAGCTTTGAGCAATAAAAATGAGTGACTCGCATAACAGAAAGTTTGTGACAAACAAAGGATATTGGGATTGTGTCAGGATAGCTAAATATTTTGCAAGATTAGTCAAATTATCTTTGAGTGATTTCAGTATACAGATACCTGTTTCCATAGATAAATAAATTCCTTACTTGGGTTCGATTAATAATATTACAAGTAGCTGAAGACATAAATTGATGTTATTTGATATATGGTGACTAGCGGTGAAATTCAAAATGCGCATTCCATCCTATCTGGGACGTGTCATCTGGATGTGCCCACGACGCCAGTAAGTGATGGTGTTCCCATCGGGACTCGAAACCAGCACTCATCGTGGCCTAGTGGCTTTGGCGTTCGAAAAGATGGGTGTCAGGCCCGAGTCTTAGTGGGAATACCATCACTTACTGAGGATCTAAGGCACATGAAGCTGATGAGTTCCCGATTTCTTAACCCACAGACATCGTCGAAACATCTGTGGTATGAGTCGACATAATAACAGAGGCCGGACATTTCGGTTTTATGGAATAAATCAACGGGAAGTACTAAATTAACTGGAAAAAAAACTATCTGTTCCAAGTCAGACTGGTCTAAATATTTCTGTGGAAATTCAATGGACGTGTTTCAAGGAATATCAACTCAACTTCTAGACGTTTGATTTATAAAATGATACAACAAAAACCAAATTAAGCTTAAAAATGAAATACTATTTGCCACTGGATTTCCATCTTCATCACTCCCGTGAGAAGCTGAATTTGATCTTGCTGACCGCAACTTCTTCACGAATTCGTTTCTATTAGTTTTCACCTCCAACAGCATGCGCTTCTCTTTGATCAGCTCCATAGTGGTCAAATTAGATCTTTTCGGTCTCCATGTGCCAGAAATTATTCGCCAAACAGTAGCAGCGCCTCGGCCTATACGATTAGCGATGAATTTAACAGTTTTTCCGGCTTCATACAATTTCAACACTTTGTTACGTTCCCATATACTTACGTTGCGCGATTTCTCCCTAAAACAGATTTAGAATATCAGAGTTAAGTCAAATAAGTTAGAACTATTACAGATCCATAGGTTATGAAAGTAGTGTGACAAGTTGAAGTACCTGATTTCAGTCACATTTTTCATACGCCCGATAAGATATCGCTTTACTGTACCTTCAAAAATAGGATAATCAAAAAGAAAAAACTTCATTAAGCAACAAAGCCAAATATTAATCTACAAGTTTAACCCCTGTGAGAAGTAAATTACATCCTCAGGATAGCAAATATCTATCAGAATTTCGTCAATAGCTGCTAATCAGAAATTACTGAGAGTGCAATGATATCATAACGCTTTAAAGATCATCTTAAATATAAGATATCCTTCAACAAAAGCTTCCTTATTCACAGTGGCCTAAAATCTAAGTAAAGTCGGAAGTGACACCCATTATATTCGCAACAGCACGTGTACATTTTAAAAACAGCAACAACAACAACCTAGTCACCGCTATGCAAAATAAGTGAGTAAAAATACAGTCCAAAACCAAAAGAGTATATCTAAAAATAAATGTCCAGTAGAGCTGGTAGACAGACCAACTAAATACTAGCATCAGTACTTACAACTTTAAAACATTTAATACACCCTAGGCACCAGGAAAGTATATAACAACAATATATACAGAAAAGTCAAAATGAATGCAGAGGAAGAGAATAAACACATAAGTATTCTTTCATACTATTAAGGACATGCTCGCTGTTTTATACTAATTCCGACTGTAAAAAATTAGAGTGTTGCAACATGACTTCCATCAGTTCCAAAACCGAGTAATACATGACGTCAAAAGATCTCTCGGGTTCCATTAGAGCATTCACGAAACCCCAAAGATGCTAACCGTGACGACACATCAGGATCCTTCGAACTACTTTCCACAGTTCCAGAAATTGTACGGATAGTACTGCAAGACAAGTCCACAACACCAAGCTTACATTCCCAGAAGATATCGCGACTTTCACACCCTCTAAAAGAGGGATGCACGACCGGGGCCCTCGGGACTCTAAGAATCAATGACTGGAGACAATAGGCGACATGGCTCAAAATCGTTGTCAGTGGCGCAGATGTATTCAGTCTCTGTAATCTTTCATATTCCTTTCTACCATTACTCATTCTGTTTCACTCTTATACTTGTCAAAACTCCATTGATTCTCTTCACTCATTTTCTTCTTTAGCCTTGTGTGCGAGGATATGGTTTTTTAGTGACGTCCTTACCTTCCAAGCACAGGCAAGCGCCGGAATTTTTAACATCCTCGAGAGAAACAACTCTTAGTACTACCCAAGGCTGCAAACAGGTGTCAAATGTTTGTTTTAAGATCACCCCAAAATTTCCCAGTGCATCCGAAACTCTTCTTATCTGGGTGGTGCGAAGAGAGGTGAACAAAATTGCAGAAATCAAAACAGCAACTCCTTAGGAACGCGTAAATAAGGAGAGCAGGACTGCATATATTTAGCTACTGAATAATCCTAACGACTAGAGCTAATGAGGATATTTCATTTCCGTTGCTTGGTGAAACGTTCTATTCGAAACGTCTCAGACAGGCCTAAACAGGCTTGGACACATGAAATTCATACCTACATTTAACGGACAGTGTCCCACATATTTCAAGTTTTACTTCGAGGTACAAGTATTTAGGCCTATTTTAATCCTCTCCTGATAAGTATCTCAGCTTATTCATTCTCCTCTTGAACAGGTCGATTGAGGCTACAAACATTAGTGCTTCCGAGAGTCGCATCCACGAGTTAACGACTCCGTAAGAGAATCAGTGCTTCACTCTGATATTGATCCTGCTGTCTGAAGTGAAGACAGACCAACTCCACATTAATTTCTGATAATTTTGAACATCCTGAGTAGATGGTCTGTCTGCTTAAAGTATGACGAGATCACAGATACACAACTTCATTCCTCATTGCTGTAGTCATACGCGTTACTGCCCTTTCAACTCTTTCTATAATGAGTTCTATTTTTGGCGAAGGTTGGTTCCCTGGAAGCATTTTTCTAGTCTTTACCGCACCAGATTTATATACGGAGTGGTACACACTTCACCGGTGATTCTACTAAAGGTTCAGGGATCTAAGGCTACGAGCTGTCACTGTGTGCCACAGGCTGTAGGCTACGATTTACGGTGATGCGTAATTCCATGTGCACCTGAAATGAAAGCAGTGTAATTCTGTATGTCACATTCAGTGACATTTGCGTGCACTATTCAGACTTCGATACATTAATGGGAGTATGAATTCTTTCGACCAATCTAACTGATTGTTGTGATTTGTTTGCGACGTAGGCATGTGGCTGTTAACAACACATGGTATATTATAGTTACCAAACTGTCAGAAATAAAACGAATGTGATTGGTTGTATAACATAGATAAATGCATCAAAACTGTCTAATAGGATTAACACGAACTCTTTGGACCTATCTGACTGATTGTTGAGATTTGTTTGCGACAGAAGCGGTCGTTGTGAACATCAGGCTTGCTCCAAATTTTGTCACATATTTACAGAACCATAGGGGAATTGATGAACCCAGGTACTTCGCAAGTATACAGGATATATAGCACTGTCAAATACAAAACCAGATTGGAGAACATCTATATCAACTTGGTCAAAGTAGGTGATGCTGGGTAGTTTTTCCGTTGAAAACATGTTGGGAACTCGGTGGAAGTGGCTATCTTACGTTGCAATTTGACCAACTTTTGGCCACGTATCAACCCGACCAAAACTGCCCATCTACTCACTCCAACTAAATACATTCTCCAACTGGGTATCTTGTAGCACACAACTATATACTGTTGTTCAGAAATTTTCGTAAGTGGAACGTGTATTATATCCGCCAGAGATATTAGCAATCTAGGGTGAAGTCCATCTGGTCCAGGTGATTTACCTGGCTTCAACTTAGACAGCAGTTTCAGAACCATTGCATCATCTACCACAATTGGGGGCATTCTAGTGGCTACACCAATTACCTCGCTACACCCCTGGGTGGTGCGATTAGGCGAGAAAAGATCACAGAAATTTTGGGAGAGCTCCTCATCTTTTGTTTCGTCTGATTCTGCAGCCTCTCCTGTGTTGCTAATGAGGGACGGTATGCCACTACTAGTTTTAGTCCTGCGTTTGATATACGAGAACAGTCATTTTGGATAATGAACACAATCCAGTACTGACTGTCTCTCATACTCTATACGACTTTGTTAATCTCACACTTGCAAAGGTTTCGAACTTTGCGGTATTGTACCCGAAACTCATCCCTCCCACTCACAGCGAACCGGTTCCTCACATGGGTTCGATTAATAATATTACAAGTAGCTGAAGACATAAATTGATGTTATTTGATATATGGTGACTAGCGGTGAAATTCAAAATGCGCATTCCATCCTATCTGGGACGTGTCATCTGGATGTGCCCACGACGCCAGTAAGTGATGGTGTTCCCATCGGGACTCGAAACCAGCACTCATCGTGGCCTAGTGGCTTTGGCGTTCGAAAAGATGGGTGTCAGGCCCGAGTCTTAGTGGGAATACCATCACTTACTGAGGATCTAAGGCACATGAAGCTGATGAGTTCCCGATTTCTTAACCCACAGACATCGTCGAAACATCTGTGGTATGAGTCGACATAATAACAGAGGCCGGACATTTCGGTTTTATGGAATAAATCAACGGGAAGTACTAAATTAACTGGAAAAAAAACTATCTGTTCCAAGTCAGACTGGTCTAAATATTTCTGTGGAAATTCAATGGACGTGTTTCAAGGAATATCAACTCAACTTCTAGACGTTTGATTTATAAAATGATACAACAAAAACCAAATTAAGCTTAAAAATGAAATACTATTTGCCACTGGATTTCCATCTTCATCACTCCCGTGAGAAGCTGAATTTGATCTTGCTGACCGCAACTTCTTCACGAATTCGTTTCTATTAGTTTTCACCTCCAACAGCATGCGCTTCTCTTTGATCAGCTCCATAGTGGTCAAATTAGATCTTTTCGGTCTCCATGTGCCAGAAATTATTCGCCAAACAGTAGCAGCGCCTCGGCCTATACGATTAGCGATGAATTTAACAGTTTTTCCGGCTTCATACAATTTCAACACTTTGTTACGTTCCCATATACTTACGTTGCGCGATTTCTCCCTAAAACAGATTTAGAATATCAGAGTTAAGTCAAATAAGTTAGAACTATTACAGATCCATAGGTTATGAAAGTAGTGTGACAAGTTGAAGTACCTGATTTCAGTCACATTTTTCATACGCCCGATAAGATATCGCTTTACTGTACCTTCAAAAATAGGATAATCAAAAAGAAAAGACTTTATCAAGCAACAAAGTCAAATATTAATCTACAAGTTTAACCCCTGTGAGAAGTAAATTACATCCTCAGGATAGCAAATATCTATCAGAATTTCGTCAATAGCTGCTAATCAGAAATTACTGAGAGTGCAATGATATCATAACGCTTTAAAGATCATCTTAAATATAAGATATCCTTCAACAAAAGCTTCCTTATTCACAGTGGCCTAAAATCTAAGTAAAGTCGGAAGTGACACCCATTATATTCGCAACAGCACGTGTACATTTTAAAAACAGCAACAACAACAACCTAGTCACCGCTATGCAAAATAAGTGAGTAAAAATACAGTCCAAAACCAAAAGAGTATATCTAAAAATAAATGTCCAGTAGAGCTGGTAGACAGACCAACTAAATACTAGCATCAGTACTTACAACTTTAAAACATTTAATACACCCTAGGCACCAGGAAAGTATATAACAACAATATATACAGAAAAGTCAAAATGAATGCAGAGGAAGAGAATAAACACATAAGTATTCTTTCATACTATTAAGGACATGCTCGCTGTTTTATACTAATTCCGACTGTAAAAAATTAGAGTGTTGCAACATGACTTCCATCAGTTCCAAAACCGAGTAATACATGACGTCAAAAGATCTCTCGGGTTCCATTAGAGCATTCACGAAACCCCAAAGATGCTAACCGTGACGACACATCAGGATCCTTCGAACTACTTTCCACAGTTCCAGAAATTGTACGGATAGTACTGCAAGACAAGTCCACAACACCAAGCTTACATTCCCAGAAGATATCGCGACTTTCACACCCTCTAAAAGAGGGATGCACGACCGGGGCCCTCGGGACTCTAAGAATCAATGACTGGAGACAATAGGCGACATGGCTCAAAATCGTTGTCAGTGGCGCAGATGTATTCAGTCTCTGTAATCTTTCATATTCCTTTCTACCATTACTCATTCTGTTTCACTCTTATACTTGTCAAAACTCCATTGATTCTCTTCACTCATTTTCTTCTTTAGCCTTGTGTGCGAGGATATGGTTTTTTAGTGACGTCCTTACCTTCCAAGCACAGGCAAGCGCCGGAATTTTTAACATCCTCGAGAGAAACAACTCTTAGTACTACCCAAGGCTGCAAACAGGTGTCAAATGTTTGTTTTAAGATCACCCCAAAATTTCCCAGTGCATCCGAAACTCTTCTTATCTGGGTGGTGCGAAGAGAGGTGAACAAAATTGCAGAAATCAAAACAGCAACTCCTTAGGAACGCGTAAATAAGGAGAGCAGGACTGCATATATTTAGCTACTGAATAATCCTAACGACTAGAGCTAATGAGGATATTTCATTTCCGTTGCTTGGTGGAACGTTCTATTCGAAACGTCTCAGACAGGCCTAAGCAGGCTTGGACACATGAAATTCATACCTACATTTAACGGACAGTGTCCCACATATTTCAAGTTTTACTTCGAGGTACAAGTATTTAGGCCTATTTTAATCCTCTCCTGATAAGTATCTCAGCTTATTCATTCTCCTCTTGAACAGGTCGATTGAGGCTACAAACATTAGTGCTTCCGAGAGTCGCATCCACGAGTTAACGACTCCGTAAGAGAATCAGTGCTTCACTCTGATATTGATCCTGCTGTCTGAAGTGAAGACAGACCAACTCCACATTAATTTCTGATAATTTTGAACATCCTGAGTAGATGGTCTGTCTGCTTAAAGTATGACGAGATCACAGATACACAACTTCATTCCTCATTGCTGTAGTCATACGCGTTACTGCCCTTTCAACTCTTTCTATAATGAGTTCTATTTTTGGCGAAGGTTGGTTCCCTGGAAGCATTTTTCTAGTCTTTACCGCACCAGATTTATATACGGAGTGGTACACACTTCACCGGTGATTCTACTAAAGGTTCAGGGATCTAAGGCTACGAGCTGTCACTGTGTGCCACAGGCTGTAGGCTACGATTTACGGTGATGCGTAATTCCATGTGCACCTGAAATGAAAGCAGTGTAATTCTGTATGTCACATTCAGTGACATTTGCGTGCACTATTCAGACTTCGATACATTAATGGGAGTATGAATTCTTTCGACCAATCTAACTGATTGTTGTGATTTGTTTGCGACGTAGGCATGTGGCTGTTAACAACACATGGTATATTATAGTTACCAAACTGTCAGAAATAAAACGAATGTGATTGGTTGTATAACATAGATAAATGCATCGAAACTGTCTAATAGGATTAACACGAACTCTTTGGACCTATCTGACTGATTGTTGAGATTTGTTTGCGACAGAAGCGGTCGTTGTGAACATCAGGCTTGCTCCAAATTTTGTCACATATTTACAGAACCATAGGGGAATTGATGAACCCAGGTACTTCGCTAGTATACAGGATATATATCACTGTCAAATACAAAACCAGATTGGAGAACATCTTTATCAACTTGGTCAAAGTAGGTGATGCTGGGTAGTTTTTCCGTTGAAAACATGTTGGGAACTCGGTGGAAGTGGCTATCTTACGTTGCAATTTGACCAACTTTTGGCCACGTATCAACCCGACCAAAACTGCCCATCTACTCACTCCAACTAAATACATTCTCCAACTGGGTATCTTGTAACACACAACTATGTACTGTTGTTCAGAAATTTTCAAGTCGATCCTAACTGCATCCAGTTATAACTTCCTTTGTTATAATAAAGGAAGTTCTTCATTTAGTTGAGTAAGCTGCACTTAGCTCAGAAATAAGTTTGCTGCTCAAAATCGAAATTCGGGTTATTTAGGAAACAAATCAATATCATCTTAAAATGTATGCTCACGTTTAGAGATTTAAAATGTCAAACACAACACTCACCTCAATCTACGCATACGTGGCGCCTTCATGCAAAGATTTGACCACTTAGATGAATGTAAGAACTTTCAATTTTCAGGGGTACATATACCTATAAATTGAAATAACAACTAATTCTTCAGGGGATGAGGGTTATAGAATCGCCGAGTATGTATGTTTAACTCTATAATTAGAAAAGACATTGAACATGCTTTCCATGCACTGGTAATTCAACAGCCAGGCTTGTTTCTAAGATGAAGATATCACCGAATTTATCACCTTTGCCCTGTACTGCATTAGGCCTTCTGATCGACTTGTATTCTCATCTGAATAGTGTTAAGGGATTCTCTAACTTTAGTGTTTACCTGGATTGGCAGTCCACTTCAGTAACTTCATTCAGGCTAAGCTCTCATTACCCAGTGTTTATGTATGACTGACGCTTATGTCTATGACCTACAGGTCACACTTTCATCACTCGAACAACATACTGATACCCAGTTTTAGGCATGAACTCATGGCCATAGACTATCCCTAAGTTTGGTCATATATGGGATGATCATTCCTTTCTGTGGAAGTGTTAAAATTTGTAGGCAATCTATGACATTACTTGGAGATCATTTCATAATAATGACTCACAAAGCTGTTGGCGAAATGTACTTTGTTTACATCAGTGATTCGAAGGCCATATAGCCATATGGCCATCTATATTGGTGGCGGATTGCTTCTTCAATTTCGTATAATCTTTCATTTGAAAATCACAAGTGACCAAATAAGCGAAGCCATTCATTATGTCTTTTAGTCAATCCCGATTATGAGTTGCGGTATGTACTATTAAAGATCAAAAATTGCTCTGGTATCATTAGAACCGCGTGCTTACTTCATTCTTCTTGTTAATTCACTAAAGCTTATTCCAAGTAGAATGAAATTCTGGACTCCTCTGGTCACCATTCACATAAGTGAGACCCCAACAACCAGTTAGATTTTATTAAGTAGGTCATCCTTGATACAATTTGTTTTCGGGGAAACATACTACAGACTTGTCTTTGAATGACCGACGTATCTTATAGCATTTCCATTGTGCACATATTGAACAGTGGATCGATTTCCATTTCCCTTGTGGCGTTAGGCAATTCTCCAGAATTACAAGCCGCAGCATTCATCACTGAACATTGGGTGATGATGCCCCCTATTCTAGTCGATTTGTTTCTCTGGAAGGTAACTGTCAAGCATCCACGCCACTCCAATACACAATATCGAATGTCGTTTTTACGAGCTAGTACAAAACAATTTGGTTTCTTTGTGCTCGTCTCTTGATTGCGAGGTATGGGTTCCTGATCTTCAGTAAACTTCAGTATAGCTCGTCCCGCCAGTCGACTGTCGTAGCTTCGATTGACTGCAAAAGGAGTAGTGCTGGGATTAATTATATTTGGTTTGTAGTATGAGGTGTGTTATGACTGTTACTACTGTGAATTGAGTTGATCCTTTCGCCAGTTAGTCCTCCGGTATCGTCGTCAAAGGAAAACTGATAATAATAATAATAATGGATTCAATTAGTGACGTTATTCAGACTAACGGACAGAAAAAGAAGTAAAGAAAACGTAAAAACAAACAGCCGATTAAATGTGAAGTTGATATATGTGTATATATCGGTAATAATAATAAGTGTAGTTAGAGTTTTCAGGAGAGTAGAACGGGAGAGAATGCAAAGAAGTAAAACGACGAACTTAGCTGTCTACCCACGAATAGTGTATGGGATTTTAAGGGGATAGGCCATTTGGATGCAGTCCTTGCGTCGCCGCATAGTTGTCCAGCCTCCGCTTAAAGGCGTCCACAGACGGTGCCATAGCTACATCTGCCGGTTAGGAATTCCATGGACAAGAAACCCGCAGTGAAAAGAAGTGGGAGCGCACCTGGTTCCTTGCCCTCTGGTGAGCTGTCCTTCTGGGATTTCCACGAGGAAGCCTATACCTACTCAACGGCAGAACACCTTTGTTTGGGTGATTCTGGTCATTTGTTACCTTGTAGGTAGTAATCGAATTTCCCTAAGCCGAAGGTAGCCAAGTGTCAATAGGCCTAATCTCTTTAGCCTTTCACCATATGCTTTACTTCGGAGACCAACTACTGCTTTTGTCTTTGGAC